ATACATAAAATATTTAAGTTACATCAAAATTGTAAAAACCTTAGTAAACAATAGCAATAATAGTTTTTTATGAGACTATTATGGAAATAACCATAATTGATTATCTCTTTAAAAAATCATTTATTTTTATTAAACTTACTAAAATGTTGATGCAGAACTTAAAAGACCATTTACTCTGTATATTCGTTTTGTATTAGGTTGATTTGGTATCTCAAAATTAACCTTTAATCCTTTAACATAATTTTCAAGTTTATTAATATTTGCTTGATTCATTGCAACATAAAGATCACAGCACAGGTCTACAGCAATGTAATCTACCAATGGCTGATGCTTTAGAAATCCTTTGTTTGTCACTAAAAATAAATTAGTAAATATAATTTAATACCCATATGAAAAAATTATTGAAACATATAATTAATTAACTTGGTTAAGTGCAGAGAAATGTCTGAATTAATAAACTATAACATTAAAATAATGCATTATTAATAAATTGAAAAAACTTAATAATAATAATTACCATCTATATTTATATAAGGTTTCCAACCGATGACTCGACTTTGATAAAATTCTTCCCATARTTCTAATCCATCGCCCAAATCTTCTGATATATAACGTGGAATAGATAAGAACGATTTTCCATTATTAATAAACCTATAAGACAACATTTGACAGATTTATCCTCACTATACCCGATTGACTAGTTTATGACTACAACATATTATGCCATAATTAAAMGTCTTTATAATCAGGGAAAAATGATATCATATGAGAATCTACTTAAAATAAATATCATGTCTAATGTGTATATATTTTTATACTTTGGCAGATATTTTTTTTTGTATTTCGTCTTCAATACTATCAATAATTCTATCTATCTTAAACATAATTTACTTACCTTAAAGAAGTCAGAGTATTTTTCAATACGACATCCAATACATGCAATGCTTCATGGGGGGTGTTATTGGATGATCCTGTTTTTAAATACTGCTCAACTTTATTCATATGAAATGTATTGACAACTTTTGTATTGATAATGAATACAACAGTTTTATTATATTCAACATCTAATATTGATATTGAATCTGTCTCCTAAGAATAAAAACATTCTTAAATATGAATTTACATATTTATTATTTATTTTAAGAAAAATTAAATAACTTCATAAGTACTTAATATATCTTAAGTTAGAATAGTTATTTATAAGAACATAATATTATCCATCGTTCAGAAAATTAATTATAGTCATAGACACATAATACATAGATATACTGTGATTGTATATTGTAGAAACCAGTTTCAAACATGTACATATACAATTGAGTTTTCAAAAAGAAATTACAGATTTTTAGTTTTGTTTTTTTGTGATAGATTAATATCGTAGAAAAATTAAAATGTWTTAACTTAATGGAATGAGAACAAACAAGACTTATTGAACTTAAAAAATAATATGCGTACTGACAATAGGAAAAGGAAACAAATCATATTTTAAATGATTCTTTATTATTAGAATATGAAAAATATTTTTTTTAACATTTTATATAAAAATATGTTATCTTAATAAGTATACATCTAAGAGCATAATTATTATGCCATAATATATACACCAACAATCCCCAATTTTTTTAGTTGTGCGGACCCCCAATTTTGTAAAAAAATCTGAGGYCCACCTATATACTAAGCACATATATATATGTATATACGGCAGTTGTCAGAAATAAAATAATTAAAAAATCAATTGTTTATTCAGAAAAACATTTTAAACAACTTAATCACAAGTTAAATAATTTAATGTAATTTTTGACATTGCTTGTCCTCCACAAGACAGTTTAATAACTGGATTAAAACTGAGTCTATATTAAAATTTAAGAACCTATGTTGATATACATAAAAAGTCTTCAGTCAAAACAGTAATCTAGAATCCAAACTTGAAAAGAAACAATTTTGTAATTTTGTGTACAGAGGTGGAAAATTTCTGCAAACAAAATTCCTATTTATACTCTGTTTATAATAACAAGAGTAGAAGGCGGCCAATTTTTGCACAAGGCTTTTATAACGCACACGCTTCGCTGGCACTGCCGGTCCAGAGATCAAAATTACCAAGCGGGAGGAAGAATGGGCGTGGMTATGACTGGCAATGATGAGTTTTCGTCACCACCACCGTCTACTTTTATCATTGTGACTAGTATTATGATGTTTATCAATACCAATTTCTGAACATTTAGTAAACTGAAGAAATTGAAAAATAAAATATTCCATCAATATTTATTGTTAATTAATTGGTAAATCATACATAATAGGTGACATAATAAATGAAGTGCGAGTCTTGAAAATGTGTATGTGTTGTAAGTAATCATTAGTGTAAAAGACTGTGTTTAAAAATAAATAGCGTAACTCTTCCAGAAGTGAACACAATTCTCAATAACGTACTACACAAATTTTTGTGACATTTTTTTTAAAACAACTTTCTTACATTATTTAATTCATTTTTCCACTTCCATAATATCAACATTCAAAATTTTAAAATTTGTTTTCAGATAAACTTCATGGATMATGACAAATTTAAATATTATGTTTCAGAAATTTAGAATTATATTTATAGCATTTTTAAGATAAACATTACAGTAGGCATAAGATAGGTTTATTTTGATAGAAAACACAGACAGGGTATCAAATCCCCTTACAGTTAATTATTTAAAATACCTATTGTTAAGGAAAAAAAAGTTAAAAATGTATTTAAYTGTAGGTATAAAATAGTATTTGAAAAACATTAGTCAACAAAGCAATATTATTTTATATTGAATTTATACTAGGGTCAGGTTTAGTGACAGATATTTTTTTATAAGTATTATTTTACTTAGTTTAAAATTAACATACCGCTTTTAGCTCCGCTGTAGTATACATATTACTCCGTCCATCAAAAACAAATTGAACATTTGGGTAATGTTTTAAATTAAATTCTTCCAATGCAAGTCTACAATTAAAATTGAGATAGTTACAATTATACTAAATTATAAAATTAATGTTTTATTAACTGTGCAGATTGTTCATACACCATACAATAGCGCAATATACACACTCAGAATATTTTTATTAATACTTATAAAAAAGACAATGATAAAAATGATTARATAAATAATTTTTAAAAATAATAACACCGATTGTTTCGTTAAATATTTCACTTTTTTAATACATATTTTGGCAACAAAAGAACAGAAATATTTCACATGCCCAAATTAAAGCATTATAGATAATATTGTTTTTCCTTATTTGGTCTCGCATACTTTAGTAAATTAATATTATGAAAATCTACAAAGCTGAATGGATCATATTGTACTTATATAAGGTATAATATTATAATGGTAATATAATTTAATATGATCTAAATTGAAACTATGATTTATGCTTATAAATTAATTCTAAACATAATTTTAAAATTATTTAATAATAGCCAATGAACAAAAGGTTTCAAAAGGCACATAAAAATAAAAAKAAACATTTTATTCACCAAGTGTCAGGCATAACCATGTGAAATACTCGTATAAACTATAAAGATAAAAAACWAATTACTTTTGAGAAAATTAATTCTACAATTCTTCAAGGTATGTTTGTGATGGCCGTTCACCTCTAYACATGCAACCGTCATATACATTATATACACTCTTGCTAAACTCTACAACACTGGAACTCTCCTTACACATAACGGCTCAAGTCTCTCATATATTAGTGACTTACATACAACAACATATATCATATATTTAATATTTTAATATTGTGTCCCTGCCAGACTTGGATAGTATTCCAAATACAGTATTCAGAATACTTTTTTAATGTCCAATCACATTTTAAAAATAATTTCATT